AATACCGCATCTTTTGAAATCAGAAACTTTTATCTAAATTTCTTGGGCAATTCTGTTTGCTATAAATTTAAACCTCACTCGACATAAATTACTGCCTCATAGAATCTCTGAAAAATGTCCTGTTCCTGCACAAATTCCTTTTCTATTTTATTGAAATTCTGTGAAAAACTTATGCTTTACAAGTTCCCCTCAGAGGGATGCTGGGTTGAGTGTATGGCAAATATCATTTTGCATATTGTCCGAAATAAATTTTACAAATCTTTTGCAAAAGTATGTTGTCCCCGAGTATGCAGAAAATAACAAAGCATATGCCCCCTCAGTGTGCCTGGTACCCTAAACATGGTACACATATCCTCTCGTAAATAACTGAAAATGGAGATGTTGAGAAATAGTTGACAATAAAGTTTTCCATTTTTGTAGTTGTTGAATGGCTAAACAAGTCAAGGTTCGGTTCTTTTTCTTTTTTAAGTAATTGCTGTTTATGCCAAATTATTGTGCAAGTTTTCCTTTTGTTGTTTTTTTTTTATTTTTATAGAGTGTATGTGTGCAGGCGGCACGTTTACGCCCTCTGATTTATGGCGCACAATTTTCGAGGCTCGTTGTCAAAAAAATAAAATATAAACTTTTAGCTGGGTCAGAGTAAGAAAAAACTTTTATTTTGTGTGCCATTTGTTCATTGTTCTCATTTGTTGGCGGGTGCCCGAGCTTCTTGTTATTTCTTTTGACAGTTTTATATTTTTTTTGGTGGAAATGAGATCTCAGGTGGTTTGTTTAATTGGTGTCTTTTTGTTGGCTGCTAGTTTGACGTTTTAATTATTTGGAAATAACCTCCTTTACGTTAACTCGCTATTTGTGAAAGCTACTTGTGATTCATAAAGAAGTAAAATGTTTCCACAGGACTCTCATATTTCTTCCCTTAACCGTCTGATGATGAAAGTCTCAATGTGACTGACAATGTACACAACAATTTTTTGTACTTTACAAGGAAGTATCCTGCAGTAGATCCTTCTGCTTCCTTCTGACTCTCCCTTGTAGCTTTAGTAAGCATTGTAATGAATTAAAGCAGGCAACTGAAGAAATCCCGGCTACAATCCATGCCATCATCTGGCAGGAACATCAGACATCAGGCACCAGGCTACCTATGCTAACACTCTCTGAGCACTCTTTTAGCCAACTTGCTATGCTTTGTTGGCTGGAACAATTTTACAATTGACTGTTTCTACAGTTCCTGCAGTTTCCTCAGTTAGTGAAAAGTGGGGTGGATTCCCTGCCAGGAAGTGGAGATTCACCAGACGGGAAGAGAAATAGGTGGGTTCGTAAAACGCTTGACTTGTTTTACGCATTATTTACTTAACCGGGAAGCTGCCTGGTACTTTCCACGTACGCAAGCACGTGTCTATTCAAGTGCACTGAGAAAAACTATATATTTAATAATAAAAATATTATTCAAGTAATGGTTTAAGATCTTAGTGATTTGAAGATCAATATAAGGATCTGTTTTCCGAGTCACTAAGAGCCACTGACAGGACCCTTGTAGGCCTGAATTTTTTCCAGTGCCAAGTGCCTGTCTATCTCTGTGTTTGTACAATCCGTGGGGGATAGGGGCGTGGCAAATGAACTAGCATAAAAGCAAGTTTGCGGCAAGCAGCCAAACGTTTGGTTACAATTAATTTCGTACTTTACTCTCGGCCAGTAGTGAAGAAAGTTGCCAAGGGGATGTAGATTGCTAAAAGGGTCTAAAGAGGGGCTACCAGGCAGGCAAGACAGTGGGTCGGAGGATAATAGCCAGCCCGGGGTGGCTCTTTAATGTGAGCAATTTGAAATGAAAACCGGCCCTGGAGTCTTGTACCCGTAAAAGTATTTTGCGGGCATTTCCCACAACATTCCCCGTCCATGGTCTTCATCTCCAAATGTTTGCTGAAAGCAAATCGAAATTCCCTGACAGGCCATCAACAAAGGAATTCGCTGAAATTACAACAATATCAAATCAAAATTATCTACCTGTCATAAGATTTTTGAATGCCGGACATAAAGCCCATTAATGGGCAATAAAAAATGTTTTAAATGCGTTCGGGAAACACGAAAATGCTCCTCGAAATTCTCAAGATATCTGAACGGAAGAGTGGCCCAATAAAAGATGGAAAATTGAGCAACCTGATACATAAAATACACCCAATCCCCTTCTTACTTAATGTTACTTGTATGTGTGAAATTTAATACTTAAAACTTACTTGATACGTTTGTTGGCGAATCCTTAGACTAAAGTTCAAATATCTTGTGGCAAAGTCGGAAAAACACACACACAATTTGTTTGGCACAAGATGCTAAATGACAGGCGTCTTATGCAACATTTATTTGATATTGTATTAAATATTTAACGCACGACACGATAAAACACTTTCCCCTCATTAATCAGACGCACACACTGAAGATTCTGGCTGCAAAAGCTGCTAATTAAAGCCGGCTGGTACACACAAATAAGAAAGGACTTGCTGGCAAGCCTTTAGTCGATGATTGATACGGATAGCCCTGGAATGTAAGGGCTTTCCCAGAGGGAGAGGATTTTCGGGTATTTTTCTTTTTTTTTTGTGACGAAACTTTACGCGACTTGTTCGCCAAGCGAAGAGCTGTGCGATGAGCAAAAGTTTTTCCGTCCACACGTGAGCACTGACAGAGGGAAACTGAAATTTTCCGCCAAGCGCCTGTAAGTATGCAGCACACTCCCCGTCGTATAACAGTATAACAGACTGTGCGTGAGAGCAAATGTGGGCGAGAAGTTGCCTCAAATGGTTGACTAGCCATTTCGCATTACCTGGTAAAAGGTAAAATAAAATTTGGCCTAATGGATACTATAGCATCACGACCTTGATGTGTTCAGCATCATCAGCATAAACTTGGCCAACAAAAACAAAAAAAAACTAGCATATGTGTTAAATTCAGACGCGTAAAACGAGTGAAAAAAAATCTACCAAATTGGGCGAGACAAGTCGCACAATTTATTTTTATTGGCCCTATAGAGGTTTATGGCCACGGACGATTATGATTATTTACTCAGGCCGTTTTATGTGTGGGCGTTTGGTTACATAATTAGGCCATTAAATATAAGTGCCTGTCTCTCGGATTTGCCTCATCCCATTTGAGATTCAAATCGATCAGCATGGCAAACAAAATTTCACTTGACAAAGCTGATTCCCATTTCCATTTCAATTCAAATGGAAACAGAATGCCATAAAGAAAAGTATTTCTCAGTAGCAACTTTTCTCCGCTTTCTCCGGAAAGCGTAATTGAATTTTTATTGACATTCTAAAGGAGCGGAGGTGAAGACAGCTGTCACAGGAGCATCTTGGTTGGCTGGAAATAAAGCGCAACTATTTTGCAAAAATGACCAAGACTGTAAACTGGCGGAAAGAAGGCAAAAGTCAGAGCAGAATAAGATAGACAGTCTGTGGAAGGAGTCTGTGGACAAAACAGACCGAAAGCCATGGAAAAATCCAGGAAAAATACAAAATTCGCAAAATTAATTTTCTATGGCGTCTTTAAAAAGGGGAGGATTGTGGCAGAGCCAGGGATTGCTTATGCCAGGCTAAGAATAACTTAATTAGGGTTGTCTAAGGAAAACGCAAACGGAATTTGAGTGGCTTAGTCTGGAACATGGCCAGAAGTGGTTTTATAGAAAACGAACAAATTTAAAAAGGAGTAAAATTTGCATAAGCCCGGGCAACTTTACTTTTATTTTACTTTGTAAAAATAGTTTTATTTTATTTTGACCAATTTGATGTGGTTAATTGACTTCCAAACTAACCGAATTCAGTTTGCCAATTTAATTGCGTCTGGGGCAACACTTTGTCATGGCTATCTGGCCTGTAACATGCAACTATTATCGTTTACAGTCGCTCGCTTTAGTGCCCCCAAACGTTTTCCTCATTACCGGGAGACGCCCCCGCAAACAGCTCTCCCTTCCTGGACCCTTTGGTCTCCGGCTGGTCATTAAATTATTTTATATGGCGCATTAAAAGCGAGCATAAGTACCCCACACACACACTCCCCCTTCTATATATATATCACCCTATATGTATATATATGTAATAAGTGAAATGCATTTGCAGTGAGGGTCATAAGCCAGAGGCTTCGTGGTTGTGGATAGAGAAGCTTCTGCTGTCCGAGTGGCAGGTTCTATTTGCTATTATTATCATAGCCGGACGGACTTCGGCGGTGTGTGTGTGGCAGGAGTGTGTGCCTGGCTTCTAAGCAATTATTTAAAGCACCACAAGAGCCATGGAGAAGTGGCATGGAGAAATGGAGACACACTTTCGTGCTGCATTATTTGCATGCAACTCTCCCTTTCTCACTATCTCTGGCCACGGGGAACGGCCCACCGCAGGCTGCTGAGATTTCAATTTAAAAACGAGGCCAAACTGGTGGACAAAAGGGGAATTGGGTAACACACATGCACCACAATCTTTTTTTTTTGTATTTTGCCAACACAGCAGGTTTTCCCGGGCACACATTTTGGCCCTGACACAAAGATGGTCAAGACAAGGAATTTTTGTCGGTTTTCAGTTGCATTCATTTGAATTAGAACGAAAAATTAGATGGAAATGAAACCTACTGTTAAATGTTATGTTATATTCAAAAATATAAAATAATACTAACCAACAGTTATTTAGTTAAAGAGATCTATAGAATATTTCTGAAAGTTTTGTTTCATTTAAGGGGTAGGGCCAATCGGATAGATTTCCTAATTGTAATATATATTTATAAAACTTCTAGCTTGTAGATTTATATTATAAGGATTTTATTCTTTTTAAAATAAAGCAATAATTAAGAAGTACTTTTTTGCCCAGTGCCTTTAGTCAGCGATTCTCTGATTGCATTGTAGCCCCAGGATTTTGGTTGCTAGCCATTGTCCTGCCCTGCTGTTTGCATATTTATTTACAATTTAAATTCAGACCATTCGCCCCTTCGTCCACCTGTCGCATCTGTCACTTTTGTGCCGCCTTAATTGTCGCAATCAATTGGGCCAACAAAGGTTAAACGCTTAAATGATTACTAGCGTTCCGAACGGCTTTGGCCACTAGGCAGCGAAACTGTTGAAAAGGTGATTCTTGTTTGGTGGAGAACTGAATGCGTTTCAGATGCTCTTTCGGTTGATTGGGATCATCGGGTACGGGGTATAAATTAACATGATTCCATGGCCATTTAAAGAGTGTGTCCTCTTGGCCATTAAACAGATTAAACCATTCAAGCTTTCGACGGATGGCTTGGACTATTTGACGTTTTCGATGGCAATCACGATCGGCTGCATTTCCGTGTATAAACAAAACATCATCTATATCTTTATAAATAGAGGGCTTGTCGTTTTCAGAAATAAGATGATCCAATTGTCGTTCTATTTGATCCATTTGTTGCATAACTTCATCGAAAAGAGCTGTGGTGTTGACGTATTCTACCAGACATTCCAAGACATAATGCAGTCTTGTGTCGATTTTTTTGTACCTGGCATCACACATCTCCAGAGTAATATTTTTCTAGAATATTTAAAAGTGGGAGATTGTGTTAATAAAACAAGAAAGGCAATCTAACTTCGGGCAGGGCCGAAGTGATATACCCTTGCGGTTAAGATTGGATATTATATCGCAGCTATAGGATATAGCCCCCGATATGGTCCACAGTGACAGCTATTCTTTCCACAATTCTCACTCTATTCTCAAGCGGAGAACCTTAACCGATTTCTAGATCGATTCTGCATCATTCTGCATCGAAACCCTGAGAAAAAATATTTTTTAGATATTTTGTCCATTTTTCGTGACGGGATCCCTTGAAAGTGGGGTTTTCCCCTATAGGTTCCAAAGTGATGGCTATATCTTCCCCAATTCCCATCCGATTCTCAAGCGGAGTACCTTAAACGATTTCTAGATCGATTCTCCACCATTCTGCATCAAAATCCTGAGACAAAATACTTTTAAGATTTTTTGTCCATTTTTCGATGAGATTCCTTGAAAATGGGTTTTTCCCCTATAGGGTCCACAGTGATGTCTATATCTTTCCCAATTCTCATCCGATTCTCGAGCGGAGTACCGCTTGAGTACGGAGTACGATTTCTAGATCGATTCTCCACCATTCTGCATCAAAATCCTGTGACAAAATATTTTTTAGATTTTTTGTCCATTTTTCGATGGAATCCCTTGAAAATAGGGTTTTCCCCTATAGGGTCCACAGTGATGGCTATATAGTGATGGCAGACAGACATGCTTATATCAACTCAGGAGGGAATCCTGATCAAGAATATGTTTACTTTATATTGTCGGAGATGTCTTCTTCACTGCGTTGCACACTTATGTCCTAAATTATAATACCCTCTATAATAGGGTGTAATAAAATACAATCATTACCTTTCCATCAATAAAACTTATAAATTGCAGCATCACAAATAGAAGGAACATTTTCGAAGCAAAGTGGAAACGAAACTGATATCAACTTAATGTTCCACATGGGGGCACAGTCTTGATTTCTTTTTAATTGATTTTATACAGCCAAAGAAATTAAATGTACATGGGAGAACAGAACGTCAGCGAAGCTACTGGCAAGTTTCAAAACAGAGCCATAAATTATAGTTGGCACTTGTGAGGCTACAAACTTTCGGAAAACTTGCAGCTCATCCGGTTTTCACCCAACTCTGAGCGGTTCGCAGCTTCACTTCCTTTGTGGCCTCATTGCTGCCAATGCCAGTGGCAGAAACAGCGGCATCAGGCCCCATAAATAATCCATACAAATTAACGCAACCGTGCACGTCTATCCACCCAAAAACCCCAACACGGAAACCCAACTCCTTTCCCCAAAAACTGAAAGCCGAAAACCGAAAAACCGCGAAATCCCAACAAAAACGAAAAATGTATAACAGTTTAATCGACACCAGTGTGCCACGGGCTAGAAGCCAAAAAGATTAAAATAAATGAAAAAAAAGGCAATTTTGGAATAAAAAATTGCGCTTAAGCTCTTAGGAGGACCCATCGCATCCATTTGGAGCTCGTTGAGGGAGCCAGCTTCTTTAGCAAAATTTATTGTTTGCGGAAGTTGTCTTTAATGGCGCTCAACTGCCACGCCCACTAGCCCATCGAAGCACAGCCACCATCCCCATCCACCCACCGAAGTTCTAGAGTCCGTATTTAGTTGACCTTCAGCTGCAAATAATTTCAACTCATTGAGTTTAATGTCCTGCGCCTTATGGGCGTGTCCAGGCCATTTGTAGAGACTTGGCTTTTTCTGGCACGTGGAGACAGTGCGTTTCGATTGTATAAAGAGGTTAATGGAGGGGGAAAATATGAGTTTCATCTTATGGATACAGATAGAAATCTATAGAAAACTTGTTGTTTACCTTGTCGTGTTATTCCCTGTTTGAAAAATGAACTTTTCTTTTGAAAAGTTAAGGACAGCTTTATATTTGTGAAATACACCGTATATTAGCTTTATCTGGCCACGTGTTCTCGCTCAATAATCGCATGATTTATGGCGGACAATGGTCAGGAAGGTCCCCTGCTCTTGGCTCATAAATATTTTGGCCGAATTTGTGTTTTTTTTTGTCGGTCCCCACGAGCTTGTTTTCATTTTCTTGTTTGCAATTCTTCTGTCGTTCAGCTTGAAAATTGTTTTTTGATATGGGAAACAACCCATATTCGCATATATAATATTTGACCCGTTTTCTCGTTATACAGGATACAGGATGTAGGATGTAGGATGCTGGCTGAACTCTAATGCGTTTATAAAGTGTTAACATTGCGTATACGCTATATTTAAGAACAGCTGTGCAGTTTATGTATGTGATTTGATTTATGCTTATAAAGGCCCCGGCCACGCCCAGTTTTATGGCTTTGTTCAGGTCGGGGGATTTCGGGAAAGCAATGGGTAATAAAAATTTCAAGCTCACTCGAGCGTTTTGTTCTGCCTTCCTGGAAAGGAGGTCGTAAATTTAATTGCGGCGGTTATTGTCGGGAAATTATCACAGATCGGAGATAATCGCCGTGCTAAAGCCAAAGACATATCCTGGAAGACGAAGCTTTATGAGCTGCGTAAGTTTTATGGCTAATTTAGTTAACACTCTTCGAGTATATCTAAAAGTTAATTGGTTAAATGGTATGTGATTTTTAAACATTTGCTTTAAGAATTCCTGTGAAATCAACCTCACGTACGTATCAATATTCATTTGTTGCCACAAAAAAACAAGATTAAATTTCCATTTAGGCCAATTGTACAAGCTGGCTCAAAGCGTGGCCAATTTCCCTGCGGCTGGGGCAATAATTTATGCTAATTCACTCGACTGCCGGGCAGACGGCATCAGGCCACAAAAAACCCCCCAATGACAATGGCAATGACTTCCTGTAATCGAGTATCACAGACACACATACATACATGCTACTATACAGTTGGCAAAAATTAAATCGAGTCGCTTGTAATTTAGCCAATTGCACAAAAGTGCCCGACTAATTGCCCAGGGAGCGAAGGAGAGTGGTAGTGGCTTTGCATTTTGGCCAGCACACTCTTGAATATTAAAATTTAAATGCGTGTCACTGGCAGAAGTAGCAAAAGCCAGCTAGTTAACATTATGAAATAAAGTAAAAGCCATGGTCGGAAATATAATTTATTTAAAACAAACAGAAGCCTGACGAAAAGTAAAAGTTGGACAAGGATAAGCTGTGTGAAAAATGCACAAACGGAATCACAACGGGCGGTCGTGTGGATATGTGGGTTTTTAAGGATATAGTTGTGGTTGACATACAAGGATTCTTTTAAATTTTAAATAAGTTTTAAATAAATCATATTTTTTTTTTTTTAAATTGAAAAAAATGTAAAAGAGATACCTAACTTTTAAAGGATTATTTGCAAGTAAATTTTAATGTTAAATAGAAAGTATATCAAATATACTTTAGAGCTATTTATCAAATAATCCTTTTCGTGTTAAAAATACATAGTTTATATTATTTATTTGAAGTTACAATTCAAAGCTTTTCATTTGTCCTTTTTATTTTTCTTGCACTGATATTATTTTAACCACAACTGTTGGCGCGTGTGATTTCCATTTGCTTTTCTCATTATTATGCTCAACACTTGGTGGGCAATTTTTTTTTTTTCCAGCTTGACGTCGTTGCCACGCCCACGACCTTCACACAGTGACAAAAACAAACAAGAAAGGGGCGGAATAGAACCCCCACGCCCCATTGCGTACCAGAAGAATGAGTAGACTAAGCGTTTCTACAGCCTGGCATTCTTTACCCCGTTTTATCCTGTTGTTCATTTCACTATATATGTTTATATGTATATACATGTAGGATATATACTGTATTGTTGTAGCCCTGTAGTCACTTAGGGATTCATGCTGCAACAGCAGCCGGAGGCAAACAGTCAGCAGCACCTTGTCCGTGTAGTTAGTCAGTTGTGGGGTGGCATGGGTGGTTGCTGGGAGGCTGTGGGGTTGACTGGCTCTGGCAGACGCCTTTGGGCATGCCCTGAATTTTAAAGTAGTCGGCATCACCAGTGAAAAAAAAAAAAATAGCAGCAGCCTTGAGACAAAGCCTGGGGTTTGTTCCACCTTATTTATTCATCCATCCATCAACCGCGTATTTGTTCGCACCGATTTTATTTTAATTTCATTAAAATGATGTGACAAAACTTAATTGGTTTCCATTGTGAGTGGGACAGCAGTCGGTGGAGATTAAATCCGTTTAAATTATGGGAATAATAAACTGCCAGACGAGATAGCCGCAATCTGTATGTCTGTGGGGGAGTGATAAAGTGAATAGTCTGGCGGCGGGGATGGCGGGGAAAAGTTTAAAGTTATGCCTTGTGACACAAAAGGCGATAAATTCATGTTTTCATATTTTTCATTTTACAAAAGTTTTCGATTTAATATTTGTGAATCCAAGCAACGAATTTCGATTATCCTCTGTCAACAGGGAGTGGACAAAGACCACTGTCCGAGCAAACAAAATGCAATTTCCATTAGCATATTTAATTTTTCAATTATGCCACACTCTCTCTCTCCTACGGCACTGTTTCAGTTTCGAAAGGATTTATTCATGGCATTTTTCACTCGTAATTAGCATAGACTCTTTGGCACTCGGGTGGCAGTGCATTATAAACAGTTAACCGTAATCTGGTCTATATATACGTACGTATATATGTATATGGGTCTTGCACCACATCTCATCCTCAACAGACGTTGCCAAGGCGGCCTTCGCCACTTGCAACATTCAAATTGAGTTGCATAACTCGCCCCACCGTGAGGTGAGCCACTCCAGATCGAAGTCATTCAAATGCAAATTCCATTTCCATATACAACACACAGCCACTGGAATTGCAACTGCAACAGCACGGCAATTGCAGCTAAGGACAAATAGAAATGTCGAGCACAGTCGTCATCAGAGTCTGAGGGCGTGACCCTATTCGAGTTATGACTGCCTCGGGTTCCTTTGTACTCGCCTCAGGGGTAAATAATTAACAATAATGCGGTCCATTC